TCTCTTGAAAGCTTTCTCTCCACGTTTTCAAGCCGCTTTCTGCTAAGTGCTTCATTTGTGTTCGTTAATGTAGCTCCCGGTATCCAAGGAAAACCAACCTCATACCTTCCATCTTGCTTTCTGACAACACTCTCTTTAAAGTCACGCAGAACATCCAGCTGATCATTCTCTCCCCGGTCCTCGACTCCCAGTACATCCAAACTGTACAGTTTCTCATAGTCATTAACCTCTCTCATGTACATACAGCTGCTCCCACTCCCATATTCGTCTCCCCCATGGACCACCCAACCGAATGTTGTCTCCTCTACCAGCGGTTCTCCCGGGTGCCCTTTGAATACTCTCTCCGTCCTTATTCTGCTATAAACACCGTCTCCGAGAGTGAGGTGTATCTGATGTTCTCCTGTGGACGTCATGTAGAACCGCTTGTCTTGTGTATGTGAGTACTTCAACTTAAGCTGATTCATGTCTGGCCTTCTCACTGTAGTAAAATCAGCTAACTTCGATCCAGTGAATTCCACCTCTTCACACGATTTCTCGTCCAGGGACTTAATATGGGTGTCAAAGATTGGCATTATCTGGACTTTGGTTCCATTGACTGTCAAGATTTCGCGAGTCTCGTGACGTGTCGGTTTCAACTTTACCAACTTGACTGCTTCACGTGAAATGAAGTTGCGTCCAGATCCTGTATCTAGGTAGGCCCAAAGCACTTGTCCGCCAATACTGACGGGAATGATCGCAGGTAGCACTTTCTCCTCTGCATAACTGGAGTAGACTGTCAATGACACTCCATCTGGATTACTGCTTTCCCTCTCCGGTCTATCGCATATGCTTCTATGGTGTTTGTGTTTACACTTGGCGCAGCCACACCTACGGCACTGGTCTGCTCTGTGGTTTTGCCTTCCACAATTAAAGCATAAATTGTGGTCTATGAAGAACTTCTTCCTGTCCGCTAATGCTGTTACTAGGGTACAGTCCTCACTCCAGTGCTCTTGTTTTCGGCAGAAAAGGCTATAGGGTTTCAGCTTATCTCCTTGCTTCTGTGAGAACAGATGTTTTTCGCATTTGCTGCTTTCGACGTGATTTCTCCTAAGCCACTTCTGCAGAGCATCAATCAGGTCTTCCATGGACCATTCCTCCCAACTGTCATCCACTCTCACCAGATCGGGCGAGGTAACTTGTTGAGCGTAGTCATAACAAACCCTTGTAACTTTTGGCCTTCTTCGAGGGTTTGAAGCACGTCATAGTTCCTACTCAGTTTCTCGTAGAATTCCTGCACCTTGAAATAATTGGAGCCTTTGACTGGGAATAAATTGAGGATTTCTTCCATGTGCGCATTCATGACGACCTTTGTTTGCCCATATTCTTTCTTTAGTCGATCCCACGCTGTCTTGTAACCAACAGTTCCAGGCTTTAAATTTGCAATTCTGTCTCTCACCTTTGGGCTAACGGATTGCAGAAGGTACCCGAATTTCTCTTCGTCGGAAATCGACTTCGCATCAACTTGCGTCAGGAACATGTTTTCAAATCTTATCCAGTCGCCGGCGGTACCCTTGAACGGTGTTATCTTTAATTTCGGTAACTTTGTGGTACTGGAAACAGCTGTTTTCTCCATTTCTAATTTCTTTTCTGCCGCAAGTAATTCAGCTTCAAGCTTTTCCTTCCACAACTCACGCTCGTGTTCCTGTTGCTTTTCACGTAACACGTACAATCGCCACTCATCTTCCAACTGTTGCTCCCGCTTCAAATCTTCTTTTTGTTGGGTAATTTCTTCCTCTCTATCATCTAGACACTTTCTAAGCCTCTCGTTTTCGCTAACAGATGCTGCATACTTTGATTTAATGTCTTTTCTCCACTCTCTCACCGTCCGAGGCGACAATCCTCGCTCAATTTTTAATTCTTCTGTCTGTGAAATAAGATCGGATAGCTTTGTAATGATTTTCACAGCTCGTTTGTAGACTATTTCCATCTCCGAATAATCCTGAATTTCGATCAATTCATCTATCTCCTCCATGAAGTACTTGACTTTCTCAATTTCCTTGTCGATCTCTTTTATGAGACGTTGTTCTTCGTCGCTTGGTTCTTCGCTGTCGCTCATGTTTGTTTTGACTCCGAGAAAGGATCACTTCGCTTCTCAAACTGTCTCACTAGCGTTGTGTATTTCTTCCTTGCGTCCTGGTCTCGGCACCAAAAATGAGCTGAACAGTAACACAGCCCATAGAACTCACAATATCACGGTTTCCTGGTTTATTCCACTTCAATCCGACTCACAAACTCTCACAAAACTCAATGAAAAAACCTCAAAGGAAAACCCGCGCTCACAATATTTTTACGACTCGTCCAGTTCTAGCTTAGTCAGCACGCACGTGCTCATTACCTTATTTGGTAGCCCTAGCCCTAATTTGGTAGTGCTGCTCAACGTCGCAAAACTGTGAGGGGTAGGGTTGGTAAAACTCTCGTACACCATCACAACAGAATTTTCTGGCCTTTCGCAGTCTCCCCATTTTACTGTGGAATACTGGCTGCTCTTTATGTCCTCTCATCTGCTCGATATCCATTCAGTAATGAAATAGTTTCAGTTTCTGATTTTTTGCAACACGCTTATTAATATCCATGAAAGGCATCATTTTCAACCTGGGTCGTACATTTTAGCTTAATTGAATTTGATTATGGCCCTCAAGGATCCCCTGCTATTGATTTAAAAAAAGAGAATGATATGCTTGTTTTAGTACATGTAGTTGCAGCATTAAACATTTTAGGCAAATAGAACCTGCTTTGAGTCTACTTGGTTGTCCAAATTTTGTCACAAAAGCAAATTTAACATACAGTTTATAAAGGAAATGGATTCACTTGTTTGTGTTGTACGTGTCCCTAATCTGAGTCATAACAGCCTTTTTAAAGACCGCTACGACCAGCAGGGGGGGGGGGGGGGGGAGGAGGAGGGGGTACTGGTATTTAGTCTGGATCTCAAGTGACAGGGACGATCAAATGGGGACAAAAATAAAAAGAAAAAAATCCCTGGACCAAAATTTAACCCCCCCTGCAAAAAAAGGAAAAAAATCCCATCCCGGGATACGCAGAAACTATCAGGAATCTTCGGATTGTTCTGAATGCCCAAAAGAATTCCCTACTCAAATCAAGGTACCAAAAAAATACTTGCTAAAATTTTCCTCTCAAAATTTCAAACCCAAACAATCCTTCGATCATTCCCGTCATATGAAATCTAGAGTACCCCTCAGGGCCGCTACATACATCATTTATCAGGTATCAGGAGGTATATGCTCGGTAAATCTTACGATTTAAAAGAAACAGACGCGATTAAGTAATAACTCTGAGAAGTAAATTAATACGAAAATGTTTATTTTACATTTTTACAATTGCAGATAACTATGTCACAAAATCAATCATTTGTAGTGGACATCTTTTTAGCGGGCGTTAACTAAGTGTTGATGTGTTGTTAACTAAACTGTTTCTTGTTCACGGCTTGAAGCTTAACCTCCTCCCTGTGTTTCGATAGCTGAGCATGAGGGGAAAATGAAACAAAACGGGGGAGACTGGAGCTAGAGGCTGGTTCTCTCGTCTAGCATATGGATTCTAGAGCATTGATAGACAACACCAATATTGCCAGAATCGTACATACTGCAATGGTCCCTTTAAAATAAAACAAAGAGGGGCCAGTTGCTCGAAGCATGGTTAGCGTTAACCAGCGTTTAATACCATGACAACGTATTGGTTTTGATACTGCTTAACCAATGGTTAAAGCTAACCATGCTTTGAGCAACTCAGCCCAGGGCCTTAATCCCTCGACTTCATTTGACTATGCCTTACGAATGTCCTTATTTTTGTTAGGAAGTTCAATCCTTAACAAATCACAAAATATAATCCTCCTCTTCACAGCTCCTTTCTGCCACATTTTGTTCCATTGAGTTTTCACACGTTTGCTCTTTCTGTTCTATTTCAACTTCCCTGTCACCGCTCTTCTCTTCACTTTTCACTTCTGCTTCATTCTGTTCCATCGAGTTTTCACAAATTTGTGCTTTCAGTTCTATTTCATCTTCCCTGCTACTACTCTTCTCTTCGCTTTTTATTTGTGCTTCATTCTGTACCATCGAGTTTTCACAAATTTGTGCTTTCAGTTCTATTTCATCTTCCTTGCCACTACTCTTCTCTTCACTTTTCATTTCTGGTTCATTCTGTTTCATGGAGTTTTCACAAATTTGGCTTCTCAGTTCCATTTCATCTTCCCTGTCACCGCTCTTCTCTTCACTTTTTATTTCTGCTTCATTCTGTTCCACCGAGTTTTCACAAACTTGATCTTTTAGTTCTGTCATCTTCCCTGCCACTGCTCTTTTCTACGCTAAAACAAACAGGGCGTTAATCCCTCGACTTCATTTGACCATACCTTACGAATGTCTTTATTTTTGTAATTTTTGTTAGGACGTTCAATCCTTGGCAAATCACAAACTTGTCGGTGTTCTTGTCCACTTCACTATTGCATTTGGGAGCATGGACGCAGCTTTGCATCATCTCAGTTGTTTTTCTTAGTAGATATTTCGTCCAGAATAGCGTGCTTTATTTCCTTGCGGAAGGAAATTACTTCATTATGGGAGAATTCTGGATTCCATGACGACCATTGTAAGTTTCTGTTGACAAAGTCAAGGAACTTTTCAAAACATTTCATAATGTACAAACCACAGTCTGTGTTGTTTGGTTGTGGTGGAATCGTTGGATACCTGATCTGTTTTACCTGTAGCGTTTTCTTTGCAGGTTGTGGTAATTTTGCTGACCACACATCTTGGAGGTACCTTGTTATCTTTAGTTCAACAGATCTGTGTTCCTTGTTAAGCGAATCCAGTATCATCAGGGAAATGTGTGGATGAGTCCTGACTATTACAAGAGTCCAATGGTGACCACGGCATATGGGAATCACTAGGTATTTCTTGGAGAAAATGTCAGTATTATTTGTCCACTTGGATATCGTCTTTGGATTGACCTGCGTTAATTTAATGTAAAAGCA